GGGGGGGCGAATCTCCTGGGGGGGCGTATCTCCTGTGACACCGGATTACTTTTCATATCACCTCCAAAGCGAAGTGATTTTCGCGCCGCGGCACGTACCGGATTACAGTGGCGTAGTGTAAACAAGAGGCCAATCCGGTACAGAAATCCCGTCGCTTCGATGCAATCCGGTATAGTGTAATCGGGGCCTTAATAAGGTCTTCCAATTTGAACAATTTCAACAAAGTGATATAGGGGACCCTAATCTTTTGTGGCATGATTGGAAAACTAAATTTCTACTTGTAGCTGATTTACACGCTCCACATACTCGAAAGGTAAGAAGCGAATATGCCCCTTGGATTACTGACACTATTGTAGAGGAACATGTATCAGAGATTTCCTTAAAAGAAGAGCTGTGAAAACTGGATCTCAGTACACGCACGAGGCTTATAAAAATGCTAAGAATCATCTCAACAAATTGATTAAACATACTAATTAGCTATAATTATTACATTAGCGAATTAAACAAACTAATAAGCAGAAACCTTATAAAGGAAATGTGGAATACAATTAACCAGTTGACGAATAAAAATTCTAAAACAACCAATGTGATCGAATTAAAGGGGAGAATCCAAATCACAAGACATATGGAGAGTATAGGAAGAGGGACCTAATGAAGTTATTTGATTGTATTTTCCTAAAATTTCGGTTTATTTTATTAACAGTTTGTCCATGATTGTACAGCCTAAAACCCAGTATTCAATACTCCGCTTCCACCATGCACCACTAAAGAACGCGATAGACGAATATATAGGCTGGTAGTAAATTTCATGTAACCAAATTATTCCCCTCTACCCGGACTTTATCATGAACTCTCTGTCATTTTAGATGTTTTCCACCATATCGACTCCCAACATGCTACCCTGGGTTTGTTTAATTATAATATTCATACACCAAAACCACTGTCTAACTGCTAAAGATGCTTACATGGAAATTGTCAGAATAGTTCAATCAAACCCACCCCCAAAAGGCATTCCATTTCCCACAGTTATTCCTTCTCCACGAAGTGTGAAAGACAAAATTGCAATTGTTGGCGCAGGCCCTGCAGGAATTCATATGGCATACTTGCTGAAGAAAAAAGGATTTCAAAATGTCGTTGTCTATGAAAAGACAGATCGCATTGGTGGTAAAACCCTCACAGTTGAACACCGAAACACCATTCATGAAATGGGAACATGTTACGCGCAGCCAGATTACGACGAGAACCTAATTGCTATGGCAAAAAAATATGGACTCTGGGATCCAGTAGAACTACCTTCTGCTAACATTTGGCCAGATAAATTTCCAGCCCCAATTAATTACTCTTCCTATGTAATTCCAGAAATCATGAAAATTTTGAAAACAAGCAATACGACAGTAGCCCAAATAACATTGTTTAAAGCCATGGTCCAATACTGCGCATTACATCGAAATATGTTTGGAAAGTATGAGGGAGAATTAATGAGAGAACCTGATCAACAGACAATGGCAACCCTCAGGTGTACTTTTGAAGACTTTCTAATGAAAAATAACCTTTTAGTTTTGAAACCACTTTTCATTCCATCGCATACAATTCAAGGATACGGCCATTTGGATGAGATTTCCGCATTGTACGGTCTCATGTGGAACACGCCGGTTTATGTTAAGGCAATAGCTGCTATGTCGATTGGAGTACCGCGCGGTTTCTGCATGATTCGTTGCGGCTTTCAAAAGTTGTGGAAAACAGTAGTAGAAAAAGAAAATATCAATGTTATTTTAAACGCCGACATCTTGAAAGTAAAGAGATATACCAATTATGTTTACCTTGACTTACAGTATCGCCATGCACGTCGATGGCACCGAAAAAGAATATTTTTTAGTTTCCTTATCTGGACCCCAAGTGTCTACACAACTCTTCGTAGACTGGATGCTTGCCGTAAAGAGTGGAATATCTTCTCAAAACTTAAACCAGTTTGGTTTACTACAACACTTTTCTCCTCAACGTACGGAACCCGAGGTTACTCACCTATCGACTACTGGCCAGATAACGTCAAAAACAAACGTGAACATTCGTTATGGGGTCAACGAGATTCATTTGGCACACTCAACAACTATCACGGAGAAGATTACAAAAGTGGATCCCTTCCTGGAGGACCTGACGGAAAGTTCATTCGCACAGGCGTTGCTTATCAATATGGGAAAAGAAAGCCTCGTAGCAAGTACTGGCTCGGAAAGATTCTGACAAAAAACCTCCAATCCACGAATGCTTCGAACATCAAGATAATACGACAAGAAAGTTGGGAATATTTTCCAAAGTTCTCTCCCGATGACATGGCTGATGGTGCACTATGGAATATTTTTAAAATGCAAGGCAGCAGAAGTACATGGTTTACAGGCTCATCTGTTAACTTTGAGTCTGTCAAAAGTGTTTTTGAATATAACAAGTTATTAGTTTCAAAAATGAAATACATTTCTGCATAAACAGAATTAATTGTGTATACTTACTAAAAATGCTGATAACATTTGTTTTGAATTGCAGATTTTGTTTTAATTATATAATAATATTGGTAAAATTTAAGGTAATTCATCAGTTTTGCATTGCGCACTTTTACTGCGCCTGCATTGATTAGGCGTGCTTCAGGAAATATATATACTTTCAAAAATGACAGAACTCTGTCTAGGGTTAACACTGAACCAGGGGCGTCGGAGCGGCTCTGAAAATGGGGGAGGGGCACACTTAGCGCCCGCCAAAGGTGGGTGAGATTTTAAGGGGTCCGGGGGTCAAAATTGGAGTCTCTGAAATGCCATTTCCTGCACTTTAGAAGGGGATTTACAGAGTTCTAAAGATGATAAAATGTCATAAAATATCTCAAATCGTTGACCATTGTTAAAACGTGGGGGGCAAGACATTTAGGCCCCCCAGCGCCCCTGCACTGAACCACATCACGATCGATCATGGTGCATGTCTAACCCTATTTAAGAATTAAGGTCAGTGACCCTACTTTTTTATTCTATATTTTTGGAACCACGATTTGATATTTTCATTGAGACCAAAAAAAGCAATTTTTCAAAATAAACTAACCATTTACAAAGCAAATTTACCATCATTCGTCCAAAAAATTATAAAAAGTCGTTGTTATGTGGACTTATCTCGTAAACGTCGGCTGAAAAGCCACCCAAAAATGGCGGCGTGAGAAAGTGATTGTTCCTGTAACTCGTGAAAGGGTCAAGATGGCGCCATATGGCCGGGGGGAAAGGTGGCATATTGCACTTGTCATATCTTCGAAACGAGTTCAGTGACCCCAATTTTTTTTCTGTTTTTACTATGAGCCTCTCATAAACTTCACCCCTGCCCCTGGGACGTTTCTCATTACTGATGAATCACCTTAAAAGCAAGTGGTGGTGAATAAAAAAAGTCACAAACAGTACATGCTATACAATATTTAAATATCTTATTAACAGGATTCTTTATATACACTTCAAACACTCATTAATAATTCATAAGCTTATTGGCAAATCATGTCAACCATAATATGTCACGTGCAGTGGCTTTAAACCTGATAAAACACTCCTAATTAGTATTCTTTATATAAAGAATACTAATAAGGCAGTATCTATTGTTGTCGTGTTCTCATTAATTTAGTATTTTTTTTTATATAAAGAATACTAATAAGGCGGTATAAACCTAATAAAACACTCCTGCTCGTTTATTAAACAGTACTTTATATACTACGTTATAATATCACTAATTCATCATAGAGTATCTAAATCTTGTTATGTCATCATTGGCTCAGTTTCTATTGTTCTCAGCAGGTTGATTTCGAGCGAATACACCTTCCGGCCTACTGTTTAAAAGCAGGGAGCAGAATTTGAATATTTCAGGGGAGAGAGGGGCTGAAATAATTGCCCTAACTATGCGGTTGATATGAAAAAATCAACCTGTTCAAGAGGTTGATATGCCATATCAACCGCTTAAAGAGGTTGATATTTTCATATCAACCTCTTCAAGCGGTTGATATGTTCATATCAACCTCTTGAACACGTTGACATGTTCATATCAACCTCATTAATAAATTAATGAGGTTGATAAATACATATCGACCTCTAATAAAGAGGATCTCCTCTCTCGTCTGGATAGACGTTGGACGTCCCCTGGACGAGAAAGAGATATCAGCCGTACCTCTGCCCGTCATTAGAGAGTTTAAGTTCGACTTCCGATACCAATACCGATACTAACAACATGTCATGCGCATGCTCTCTGCTCGCAAGAAGCACGAGGACAAGTGTATTGGAAGTCACCACTACCGAAGTCGGCCTTGTATTGGAAGTCGGGAGAATTGTAAGATAAACTCATAATCGGATATTTCATAATTTTTACGATAAACATGTAAGCTATTTGTTTATTAGCATCGCATGTTTTAGTCGGAATTCTAGCTCAGCTGCCGTTTAGTATACCGCACATTTTCGGTGACGATTAATGTGTTCTATACTTTATCTGTCGTGATAACTTAACGCTTTAAAATTCCCGGTACCAAAATGAGAACGGAAATGAAAACATCGATATCGGTATTGGTATTGGAAGTCGAACTTAAACTCTCTACTATCGATCATCCGGCGTCAGGGGACATGCTGGAAAACCCTAGTCAAATTCGCACCCAGCGAATTCATACAAAAATATCTACTGTTTTGCTTGTGGAACGTGAAATAAAGTGAAATTACACACTGCGCATGCTCAACTACAACCATTACAGCTTCTGAAAGACAGTATTTCTCACCTCGCTCTCACGTTCCCCTCCGCTATTAGCGAGTTCTATTACTGCATCTAAATCTAGTTGACATGCAATCACTGTCCGAAACCTTGTCACTAGTAAACACATTCTGCGTAATATACAGATCCTCGTCACTTTCATCCTTCATAGCCAGCGATCAACAAACCACGTGAATACTTCTACACCATGAAGAATACTTCTTCTTACACATTAAATGTAAAATGCACTTAAACCCGTCGACTGCATGTATAACTAGTATTTCTTCTATTTGCAACACAATACACTTCACCCACACCAGTCATTTCAACTAATTTACATCCTCTCTCTTATGCAAATCGCACAACTTCAATCCTTAAGGCCGGCGCACACTAGAGCTATGTGCTTAGCAAAATGTCATTCGTGACTGTTGGCGTAAGGAGATAGCTCTCGTGTGCGGGCGATTTACGAACGACTTTTGTCATTCGCGCCACTTACGCCAAATATCTAACATGTTTGATAATTTCTGCCTCGCGTGCCAAAATCTTTCCGTGTGCGGCGAACGAAAGCTATCTGCTTACGGATTGTCGTAACAGCGCATGCGTAGTATACGAAAGTAAACATCCAAGATGGTGGCGCAAAATGAATTGCTGGCCGAGGCAATTTTAGAGGACAAACTTGTCGAACTTTGGCCTGAATACAAATGTTTATACGATGTGAGTTCTGCAGTATAACAAAATAACAACACCTCTTCGTCTTCACATTCATCCATTTTGTGAGCTGTTCGCCATCTTGGATGTTTACTTTCGTATACTACGCATGCGCTGTTACAACAATCCGTAAGCAGATAGCTTTCGTTCGCCGCACACGGAAAGATTTTGGCACGCGAGGCAGAAATTATCAAACATGTTAGATATTTGGCGGAAGTGGCACGAATGACAAAAGTCGTTCGTAAATCGCCCGCACACGAGAGCTATCTCCTTACGCCAACAGTCACGAATGACATTTTGCTAAGCACATAGCTCTAGTGTGCGCCGGGCTTTAGGTTTTGAACTAACCCTACCCAATGAGCGTTACGCCACTGTTGGGAATGTGTAATGAGTTCCGGGAATCCCATTTTCATTTCAAGTGGTCTTAATTAGTTCTTATTTCTAGTCAAAAACATTTGTTCCTGGTTTAGAGTTTTAAACCTATTATTGTATACAATGAAACTGGTAATTAAATGAACTGTAATTTTAACTGTTAATTGTATGAACTATAAATGCAACTTGTCTTTAACTATAGAATTGGTAAAAAAGGGCCATCATGATGTACGTTTTCTGAATATAGTTATGCAAGTTAAATTATGTTGCGCATTCGGATTGCTTAGTGTTTTGATAAAATAAATGCATGTATGATGTGGACGAAAGACATAATTCATGCTAGCAAGATTACAGTGTCTTGTTTTCTTCCTAGTACCTGCTTATACAGCTAAAAGTATAGAATTATTAATAAGGTTTTTTAAGAACCAGTTTCATTTGTCAGCCTGAAGTGGTTCTTGTATTTTGGGTGCTTAATTGCCCAAATTTCAGGAGGAAATTTCGGGAGGTCGCCAAAATAATTTTTCCCGAAAAAAAATTTTTGGTACTAGTGGGCCAGAATCCCGAAAAGTCGGGCAATGGGATTTTGACTCGGCAAAATTACCAAACAACAGTCGGCAAAAGATCACTCACACCCCCCCACTCGAAGAGGGTTAGCGCCGCCCCTGGACGTAACATTGCCGGGAACAGTTAAAAAACCAAAATGACCGATCGAGTTGAATACAGAGGCCACACAGTGAGCTCCATATATATATATATATATATATATATATATATATATATATATATATATATATATATATATATATATATATATATATATATATATATAAAAG